GCCAGAGTCTGTCGGTGGCGAGTCACTTGCACGATCATTTTCTGCGCTTGAAAAGGAGATTGATGCCCTTGTGTTAATGAGAGATCACTGGCGAAGAGAGAGTGAAAAGCAGGCTCGTGATACGAAAGAAGCGCAGTCACAGGTGCAGTCACTGGAAAAAGAAGCCGCTGCTAAAGATGATGAGTTCAAGGAAACGATGGAGGAGGTGGCGCGAGTCCATAGCAAGAACGCACAGGAGCAAAAATCTCACTTTGAACAATGTGTCGCTGATGTGGAAAGTGAACGAGCAGCACTGGAGACCAACCTGCAGGAAGAAGCCGCTAAGCGTGTCGAGGAACAGGAGAACAATGCCAAACTGCAGCAAGTGGTGGACGGCTTTGAAGAGGATGTTCCAGTCTTCGCAACGATCCTTCATCTCTTCGTCCTCGTAGTGCAGCCACTCATTCTCCAAGTCAGTGATTTACTAGCTCAAAAGCGCTATCTCACTCGCGAAAACGCCGAGCTCGCTCAAGCTCAAGAACAGATCGAGTGTATCGGCCAAGTATTAAAAGAGATGATTCCAGCTACAGCGCAGAATGAAGAGAAGATCAAAGAACGACAACGTCGACGAGTATTTCGACGTGTGGTGATTGCTGTGTTTGCCATGAACCGGTTCCAGCGCTTCACCTATTGCGGTACCGATAATGGCCATCAGAGTGCATATGGACTCTCAGCACCGCTCAAGATGGTGAAGTCGAGAAAGACAACGAGTACGTTGTCATCTCAATCTACGTTTATCAAGGTGCTGCCTCCGCAGCAAACATTGTCGAGACTTTCTCTTCGTCCCCTATTGGAGCGACTCAAGAAGATGGACATTACGGGCAAAGCTGCTCAAGTGATGGAGTCGAACGCAACTTTATCGGGGCATTTGCCTTCTTCTCTCGGCACTTTGATTCTTAAAGTAGTTATGGCAACCAACCCAGCGTCGAAGGAGCTTCTAGTGGCCAGCTCCAGTGGAACCTTCCACTGCCAAGCTTTACTGGAGCGTCGACGTCGATCAAACAAGAAACGAATGGATCAGCATGATGATACACTGGCAGAGTATGATAGTTCTCTGTCTTTTGAGGAAAATGTTCCGACTGTGGCGTTGATTCGGAAACGGATTCTAGCTCTTGGCAAGCGAGTGGAAGACCTGCACTATCAGCGGAACTCACTGCAGAAAGAGAATTACGAGCTCCAGTTCCAACTGGACCAACAAGCCAATAGCTTGAAAGACATGGAGGTTTTGCTGGAAAAGACTCGAGATCTTCAAGATGATATGGTGGCTTTACGCCGTGAAACTGACCAAGAACTTCAAAGAGCACAGCAGGGACAAGCAGCAAAGGACCAGGAAATGCAATCAAAGGAAGACGAATTAATCCAAGCAGCAACGAAGATTGACGCACTGCAAACTGAGATTTCACATGCTGAAAAGCGGATTGAAAGGGCGGAAACGGAGAAAGGCTCGTTGCAGCGAGAACTTGACCAATTAAAGAGTAGTTCCATCGAAGAGGAAGAGAAAGCCGATAAATCGAAATCCGCAGCACGTCGGCAGGAAGAGGAAGTCCGAAGTCTCAAGCAGGCTGTCAAGAAGGCGCACGACCTCTATCAGAGGGTTAGCTGGCAATTAGAACAGGAGGTTCAGGAGAAAGCGGCGTTGCAGACGGTGGTGAATCACTTACGTCACCAACAGGCGAAGGCACAGCGAGAACTACGCGAGGAAAAACTACGAGAGTTGGAGAAAAGTTTCAATGACACTGAAAGTGACGAAGACGACGTGGAGCAAGCATACACTAAGGCGAGAGTGCTACGGAAGTCGTGTGACAGTAAGGCGCGTGGCACTAACTCTTCAAGTCCCTTTACGAAATCGAGGAAGAAGACCTCGTTCGTGCCAACGATTGACGTCAATGGTCTGGATAATTGCGATGAAGCGCCGACCAAGGCCGCTCTTCGGCGTAGGAAGTGTGAGAACAGTGATTTAAAGGAAAGTGCGAGTCCGTCATCATCATCGTCAGTGTCACCACGAGTGCATCCGAAGAAGTCTCGTTGTTCCGCGGAGGTTGACAACTTTCTGAGTGAGTGGCAGCAACTTAGTGTATCGAGGACGCTTGTGGACGTTTTAAATTCAGGAAAAGGAGACCGAGCTCACAGCAACGCCAACGACTTGTGTAAGGTTTCTCCTACCAATTTCTCTGGCTCACCAACAAATGTTTCGTGGGAGAGCACTACACCCGAGAAGAGGAAACGGCGAAAGGAAATTGACAAAGTCAACGCTGCTGTTCATGATTACATGGACCGAATTGACGATAAGCTGAGCAAGATGTACGGTATCCCCCCATCATCCGCGATTCAGCGCACGGCAGGTCATTGTGATGCTAAAAACTCGGAATTTCTATACGACCCCGGATATTCAAGCGGTAAATCGAGTGAGGATATGGCTGACTTACAATAAGCCATCCTTGGACATGTTGAAGTTAGGCGTACATGGCTACAGCGGAAGGTGAATCTAACGGGTTGTACAGTAATGGGTTGCAAGGCTCCGTTGGTTGGTTAGCAATAATAATTAGGCGTTCTAGCGTGGCGGGGTTCGAGAGCCGCCATGTCGCTTTGAACGACCTCCTCCTTCTCTCTCTTTCCAGCTGCAAGTAAATCTACAGCGACATGCATTTACTTGCTCTCATCCGGTCGAGGCTGCGCTGTAGTCTCTTCCACCTCTTCGGACTTGTTGCCACCATGTGCGTTGCAGCTGCAGTTGCATTTGCAGCCCTCTGGTCGGGTCTGCATCTGATCCTTTGCCTCGGTTTCGTTCTTCGTCGGCTCATAGCATTCTCAACCTCACCCTCGGCCTCTGTATCCTCCTCGTTCTTTGTCTCCGTTTTCGACTCCTTCTTCTCTCCCTCGGTCCTTTCGCCCTGTGCGGGTACCAAAGTCTGCCCTTCAGCGCCTCCAAGGTGCAAAATCTCGGCCAGTGACGGCAAATTGTTGTTGCCCACCGGTGATCCCTCGTTGGCCACCGCTGCAACAATTTCTGCCGACGCTGTGGTTTCCACCGTCACAGCCGAGTCCACTTCCATGGGCTCCGGTTTGTCCTGATTAATCGTCGTGGCCTGTTGCGCCAAAATATTCAGTAGCTGGTCATTGGTGACGCCGGCCGCAGCCGCAGCCGCCGCCACGGCCTCCGAGCCAGCCTTGAGCTGCAAGTCGGCGACGCCGTAGGGTGAAACGATGGTCTTAGGCTCGCCCTTGGGGTCGGCCTTAATGTCCACAGGTGTAGGGCCAGTACCGGTTGTGGTCGTCGCAAGATTCGCATTGGTGTTGCTCTTCTTCTGGTTGCGCAGACCGCGCTGGCGGCGGTGAATTTTCTGGCGATATTTCTGCGCATGGGTCATGGTCTGGCGCGGTGTTTTAGAGCCAATAAAGTCGGCCACTTTCTTCCAGGGGCCAGCTGGAAACTTCTCGAGCGCCGCGAGGAAGCGCTCGTGTTCCTCTTTGGTCCACATTTGGATCTTGTTCTTAGCCGACATGACCACGGCGCCTGCCTTGGCCTCTGTGGGGCGCAAGCGGATCACTTTCTCCTTGGTTGCGCCGCCCGCGGCATCGGGTGCCTGCTCGAAGAGCTGATTGTATACGCTACGCGAGATGGTCATGCTGGTGGGAGTGGCAAAGTGAGCACTATCGGTGAGGATGAAGCCTTCTTGCCGCGACACGACGTGCGGGTTATACACGAATGGCGTGTACCCATTCTACACGGCCGTGTGTGGTTGGTGGAAAAACAATCTGGGTTCAAACTCGATCTCTGGTGGGTACACACCGCGTGCCTTAGTGTTTGTAAGATGGTCCGACGTCAAAATGAAATGTGATAGAGCGCGGACATTGGATGAAAATAAAAAAAACAGACACCATTGTTCAGGTACATGTACTGTATTGTCAATTCCGCGATATAAACTCCAAGTAATTAGAGAATTGGGGACCGGCTTCGAAATAGGCTAGAGCTCACAAAGCCTACTACGTATCGGATAGTACTTACGGTGCGGTTTTAACCCATTCTGCAATTCATGCTTAGAAATAGCAACTTGCTATTATTTAATAGCCACTCTATTGGGTATTAAAAAAATACTATTGGAATATTGGGAGCAATAATAATATTAGTACATGAAGCTCATATAACGTGCAAATCTGTCTGCTATTTTGGGAGAGTTTTTGACATTGCTTCCTGCGTGCGTGACGAGTGCCTCCACCGCCGGCGGCGCCGAGAGTATCGGCGAGAGGCAACTTGCCTCAGGCAAGCAGTCGAGGGCATCTTGCAGCTGCAGGAAGGCCAAACGACAGAGAATTTCTGGGCGCTCCAGGTGCTGCAAGTTGCAGCCTGCAACGAGAGTTTCACTGTGAGACACCGTGTCTGATCGAGAAGCAATTTATACCGCTGCGCCGCACGGTGTCGTCACAGCAGACCTCCTATGATTGGACCTATCTGCGCTGGCATCGCAAACAGCATCGACTCGCAATTTATCGGTTATCGTTGCTGCTGGCCCTGCATGGTTCCTAGGATGGCTGCACCTCTCGCCGATGGCTCCAGCTTTTTAGAACGACGCGTGTACCCATCGACTCCATTTTTTTGCAGCATATCCGTTGGCTGGGTCTCCCGTGCAGAAACCCGATTCTGCGCCAAGTCCCTCGCTCGCCGTTGTTCAATTTCAATCGGACACTCCGTCGCAAGTGAAAAGAGCGGGATGATAGTATCGCTGACAAGCTGTATCCTCTTGATGGAGTTGGCGGCTTCAGCGCTCGCCGTGATTCACGGCATGAAAAGTCTCCGCTTTGGAGACTTTCAAACAAGGGCGGACTATAAATAACTCCAACTTTTTGCTGACATGTGAGAGCTCTTCTTTGTTCGGCCACACGCCAGTGCCTTGCTGGTGTGGATGAATGGGTACCTTTTCAACAAAAATAAAATAAAAACTGCAGCCAGGTATTAAAAGACCCCATTTCCGTGTAAATATGAAGTATTACATGAGATGTGTATCATACTTGTTCTTATTACCAATTACTGTACTAATACAATCATTTGTATTTATTAAATAATACAGTAGTAGATAAAACAAATACAGAACGAAAAGTAGAAGTTTACAAGGGGTCTTTAAAAATACTAGAATAGTATCTATGAGAAACTCGAAGACAATCGAGCGATTGAAAACGAAGATCGGTCGTCGATACCGCAGTGCCATTGCGAAGGTGCTGCTTGTAATAAAGTTCTCTTGAGATATTTCCGCAATGGATCTCAAGATGCAATCTGGTATTTTTATCTAAATGAAGTTTCGAAGCAATGACCAAGGTCTCACGCCGCAATGCTTTAACCAATGAGGGCAGATGCTTACCAATGAGGACCAAATAGTTCACGATAAGCCATCGTTATGTGCTCGTCAATTAAAATGGGTAAGACTCACTTTTTGTCCCGGTGCTGCATTTCGAGTCAAAGACTTTGACCTACAATAAAAGTGCAAAACTGACACAACTCGAAACTTTTTAGTGTGTCAAAACTTGATTTGGGTGTATTTTGCTATATTGGGCTGGGCGCAGCCAGGCGGAAAGTGAATCCACGTCGTATCCATTAAGTGTAATGTCCCGATTAAGTACGATATGTTCTTCGCGTCGCTGTTTGTCGGGACTGGCGCTCCGCGCGGACCAAGCCACCAAAGCCAATTCTTCTTTCCCTCCTTTTTGTCACTACATGCAGCGGCGCCAGGCTTGGGAGTGCTAAGAAGCGGGAAAGCAAGATGACGATTTCGGCCAATGTGCGCAAGGAGCTGTTCGAGATGACGAACAGTGAGGGAAAGCTCATCCGCATCAAGCCCACGGAGGCCAAGGCAGGCACGACGGTCTACTCGTCCAAGCAGAGCCAGCCCCTTAAGATGTGGACCCAGGAGGAGCACGAAAAGTTCCTGGAGGCTATGGAGAAGTACCCAGCGGGTCCATGGAAGGTCATCGCCGCCTTTATCGGCACCAAGACGACTCGCCAGACAATGACCCACGCGCAGAAGTACCGCCAGAAGATCAGTCGCTGGCGTCGCGGACTGCGCCACAAGGGCCGCAAGCAGGCCGGGGATGATGTCCCACATCCCAGTGAGGCCGACGCGCATGAATACTCGGCCAAGGAGAATCTCTTTAAGGCCATCGAGTATGTGTCAGGTGACGAGATGACCGGCCATTATGGGAGGGTTAGTGTGACTGCGAACTCATCTGTAAGCCCCACGCGCTCCCTTACGGGGGTCCCGGGCCACGAGGCACCGCGGAGTGAACTCTTTCGTCTGGCGGAACTCGCATCTATCGAAGTCATGAAGCAGGAGCCCGTGGCCGTCCCTACCGTGCCGTCCATGCCATCGTCTCCCCCCGACGTGGAGATGGTCGACATGTCGAGCCCCGTGGTGATCAAGCAGTGCCCCGAAGAAGTCGTGGCCCGCGCATCCGTGGAGTTCAGTGAGAAGATCCGCAAGATGGAGTGGGGCAACAACCAGGATGGCTTTATCCGACCCAGTCCCGAGTGGTGCATGCAGAAAACCGAGGTGCGACTCAGTCCGCTACGAGCCTCCCCGGACGGGAGCCCCTTCCCTGCTCGCAAGTTCGGCGGCGTCCTCAGCGCCATCACCGACATGTCTTACCAGAACGCACAAAACCGCCTGCCTTTGCCCCTCTCGTCGACGCCGATGCTTTCCCCCATACGTGTCGCAGGCGCCGAGGAACGGAAGATGCAGCAACAGCAATGTGGTGCCGGCGCGTTCCGCCTGCCACCGCTCAACGTCGTGAGTACGCAAGCTCCCAGTGTCTACTCGATCCCTCCGCTGCGCTCCAAGATCGACCCAAGCGTGTTGAGTGGCCGAGCCTACTACACGTCCACGAACTAACTGTTTTATTGGTTGGTGAGGAAGAGGGGAGATGGAAGACGGCGAGACAGTCGAACTGAGTGAAGGATGGGCGAGACGGAAGCAGACGGAGGATGATCGAGCCGAGCGTGTCGTGTGGTATTTGCTGGTGCTCAAGCAAGAGAAGGCGACATGACCGACGAGGTCACTTTTTTTCTGTGGAGGATGGACAAAAATACGAGTAAAAATGAAACAAGACAAGATGGAGACTGCAGCGGTCTTGAGTTGACGAGCGGGGGAGGGGCGACGAGTGATCGCAGCTCGAAACCCGTCCGCTCTGGTGCCGTTGCTGCGTGGCGACACTTCTGGTTCAAGGGGATTTATGATAGAATTGAAGCGTGGCGCGTTGTATAATTGGGTGCTGAGAGAGCGGATGGAAGCAGAGCTTCAAGTGGCGTGAACTGCGAGCGAGGCCGCCTGGAAGCAATCGGACCGAGCAAACAGGAAGGAAATCGCCCGCAGGCAAGTGGAACTTGTGGGCGATTGCCGTCGGCGCTGGACAAGTGTGCAAACTTTTGATTGTGTGTATTTTTTTTAGAATTTTTGGACAAAATAGGAAGGAACTATTTAGCAAACTAGTGCAAGGGGACTGACCTGCGCTAGTTTCCGCCTTGGCGGAGCCAAGACATCATCAACAACCACAGTATGGAAAACAAAATAAAGACAGCTTTGTAATAAGCACGGCGACAGCTTC